ATTTACACTTTGCTGAAATTCTAGTCATTATAACTTATAACATGATTAGAGAAGTAGCCTACCAGGTCCTCTTAAATTTCAACTTAATTATTTCTTTTAATGTTTCATTGCTTTTGTTCCTCTCATCAAGTCATGAAAGGAGACATGGTAAGGAAATAAACAGAGGACAGAAAGGTGGTACAGAAAAATGTCATTTGAGTACCAGATTATTATTTAATGATAGGAAGAAGGAGTCAAATTGGTATCCATCATTTATTTATCATTTAATATCACATTAATTTAATGAAAACACCTTTTGAAATAGTATAGTGCAGTGATTTTATAGCCTCGTTTTTGGGCTTTTTATACGTGCTACATATATGAACCTAAGCAAGTCACTTAACCGTTTACGACTCATTGCTGAAGTCAGGATGAAAATTACAGTACTTATGTCATAGAGTGCTGTAAGTGTCACACGAATTAATGCACCATATTCAGAATAATGCTTGGATCATAGTAATCATTCAATTAAAGTTTAGCTTATTATTATACTCCTCATTTTCAGACGAAGAATTTGAGGCTCGAAGAGTTCAGTTTAGTTGCTTAAGCCACTGACCATAACAAAAAAGTGATGGAGTCAGTATTTAAACTCAGGTCTGTTTGACTCCAAAGCTACTAGAGTTAAATGTTTCCACTGTCAATGACAACACTCAAATATTCTAAAATCTGTGGTGGAATGGTAGTGAATCAACAGTGGCTTCAGCCTGACAGCTCAAATTCTAGTCCTAGCAAGTATTTTAAAAACCAGCTCCAGACACTCAAAAAATATCTGCAGTATTTGGACGAAACAGAAATAGGGATTCAACCTAAACTAGAAAAGACACCATTCTCTCAGCTAAAGCTGTCCAAAGGCTGTTCTGTTTGTTTTATTTTGGTTTTTGTCTGTTTGGGAAGAAATTGGGAGTTTACATTTAAATCTCATTATATATAATTTATAGTTTGTTAAAATCGTGTTTAGCCAAAGGTAATTCTTACCATTTGATATGAGTTAAATAATCATATTATCATTCATTGGAGCTTCACATAGAGTTCTAATTTAAATTATCCCTCCAGGTATTATAATATTTTTAGACTGAATTATTGAAATCATTATTTTGGCAGTCAGATTGGGCAAAAGAGGAGAGCAGGAAATTCCCCCAGAAAGGTTTATTCTAATATGGATGCACCACTTGTTTCTTGGTGAAAGTTAATGTCCTAAATAGACCATTCTATAAGATTCATATCCAAACCCGTTTCTCAATGTTTCTCTCAAAACCACTTCTGCAGTTTTCCCTACATGAATAAAAGACAACTTCATTCTTCCAGTTGCTCAAAACAAAAAACTTTGGAGTCATCCTTGATTCTTGATTTTCTTTCATAATCTACATCTGGTATGTCAGCAAGTCCTATTGGCTTTCATTTCAAAATATATCCTGAACTTGACCAGTTCCCCCAATCCTTTCTGCCATCACTCCGATTCAAGTCCTAATTATCATTTGCCTGGATTTCCTCAAGAGCTTCCTAGCCCATCTCTGCCTTTCCTTACTTCAGTTACTGCTCTGCCCCAAACCTTCAAGGGTTCCTTCTTGCTCAGGGTAAAGTCCAGAGCCTTGTAATGATCTATAGGCCCTATGTCATCTGCCATCAACTACCTTGTTGACCTCATTTCCCACTATTCACTTCATTCTTTCCAGCCAAACTGCTATCTTTTCTGTATCTGGAAGAAGTCAGCAAGCTCTTGTCTCTGGGGTTTTCTCTTGTCTTCTTTCTACCTTTCTTCTTCCCCTAGATGCTATATGTTGGTAGGTCTTTACTCAAAAGTCACCTTCTCAGTGAGGCCTTCCCAGGACCTCCCTATCTAGTATTTCAACCAAGTGTCCCATGTCCCCCCTCCCCCCGTTTGTCATCCCCTCTCTTTGCAATACCTTTTCTTCTCTGACTTAGTCTGTGTCACTATCTACATAATATATTTTACTTATTTGTTTTGTTTATTGTCAGCCTCCCCACCAGATTATAAGCTCCATGAGTACAGGGGTTTTTTTCTGCTGCTTCACTTACTGCTGTTTCCCCAGTGTCTGTCACGTAAATAGGCACTCAATACATTTTTTGTTAAATGTTGCTGAATTTAATTCAGACAGAATTGAAATTATAAACTTTCTACACAAAAGGATAGCTAAAATGTTTTCCATTTAGGAACTTGTTAGTCAGAGAGTCATATTTAATAGTTCTGAAATCAATTTTAATTATCTGACAACATCATACACCAAACTAGGGTATTTATATTTTCTGTTTATCCTACTTTCTGGAACATTTGATAGCAGCTTTTCACCACAAAAACATTTTTAGATTAAAATTACTTTGCCCTCTATGGTTATCTGTGGGCACTGGTAACAAATTGTTTGCTAGTGCTAAGTGAGTCTATGCTGATTGGCCATTGGGAATTCTAACAAACTTTAAATTTCAGCAAAATTTGCCCAGAGACTGCAATCCTGTGGAAGAAGCCAGGTATTCTGAAGGTAAACGATACCAGGTAATTTGGCTCTCTTGATATTCTTGATTCCAAATAGCTTTGTAATGTAGTTTACATTTTCAAGATCTATGCCATCCAGGTAGGGAGATTGCTTTTGAAAATAAATTTATATTGAAAGTATTCTCTATTCAGCACAACTGTGTAATATTTAGTGCTTTGTTTTCTAAAATATAAAATGTGTTACCAGGTTCTGGAATTTATCAACTAAAATGGATGGTTTGTTAGCAACTTCCTCTTTAAGTGTTTGCATTATCGAGACCCACAATAACTCAAAGACTCTGCTTTTACTCTAAACCTTCACTTACAAACCTGAATAAGGATAATGTGATCGTATTCATAGTTTTAAACATCATCTGTGCAGATATTTCTACAGATCAGCATTAAGTCATTTCATAAATGACTTGTGCTGATTTCTAAAATGCTTGGATAGCTAAATTATAGTTAGAATTAAGATCCTGAAAATTGTATTAGTTTAGAAGAGAATAGCCTAGAATTTTAAAATGTATTTAATAGTTACATTATTTCTCCAAATAAAAATTTTTACCTTGAAATGTTTAAAGACTGCAACAGTATTTATTTTTTCCATTAAAAGTGTTTTCCCCACATAATCTCAGAGTGGTATAAATTTTTTATTTCTCATATTGGTTGCTATATTTATGTGTGGTAGTCAGAGAAATACTTAATATTTGTTAAAATAAACAGATTAGCAGTCCATGGTTATACGGACTTTTTTTTTTTCAAAAATGGCTACTTGACTTAAATTGGCTCACTAGATCCTGTTAGCATATTCACCAAAATATAAACAAGTACCTTTATCCATAGCTAAACGTTGATGTTTAAACATAATTTTTTGAGCTCAATATAAATTATTTGCCTTAAAATCAACTACATAAATTTTTTTCTGTAGTAAGATGAAAGAATAAAAACTTATTCAAGACGGCACAGACTGTTGAGAACACTGTCTCTATGCTTACATTGCCTGGGTACTAATCTCAGTTATGCCCCCTGGGAATTCTGGGGCAAATTATTTGACTTTCTGTATTTATTTCCTAATGTAAAACATGCCGCCTAACTCAAAGGGTTTTTGTGAGGCTCAATTAATAGAATATGTGTAAAATTTTAAGACAGTGGTGGCTCATTTTAGTGTTCAATACGTTTTAGCTATTAATATAAGGATTGCATACGTTGTTTCACTCTCCAAACCACAGATGGCTACTAGCTCAGACATATTGCTAATTAATACAAGGACATATATTGGGGGGCCATCCTGGTAGCAGAGAAGAGTTTGTTGCTCACAGTGGAGCCTGCTATGCTGGCCCTTATGTGAAGAGTCGAGTTGTTACACTAACTTAATATTATTATGAATTAAATAAATTAAATGAGCTCTAAAAACAAAAGGAAAAAGTCTGGGCTGACAATAGAGCAATAGATATATATTTCCCCTGAAGGGTAATTTCCCCTGAAGGGTAATTTTAGTGGGATGAGATGGTGAGATGATGTAATGTTGTATATGGGATCGCATCAGAAAGGTTCTGTAAAGCCTAAACTGCCTTTTGAAAGTGCCTAGTGATAGAAGTGTTGTTTGTCATCTATTATAATTGGAAGGTAACTGTAGTTGAGTAAAGTTCAATGTAAATAAAATATTCTTTTAAAAATGGTAAAGTACCAAAATAAACAAAGAAACAACCCTTAAGGTGACAGATTTTCCTCAATGTGCATATATGTATCCCTTCTTATATACCTCAAACATTCCACATCTAGCCATGCAAATTGATTACCTGAACCATAGTACTGGAAAGTAGAATAGCATGAAAAACTTAATTTTGTGGACATTACCTTTTTTTGTAATCAGTTACTGTATGTTTTATTGTAAATCTTTTGTTTTGGGTGGGTTTTCTGCTCTGGAGGTATATGCACTAACAAAACATTTTCCTCTTTTCATATATACATGTTATATTAGCAACGTGAGCAATATTTCCTACCAAATTTCACTCTCGATATTTTTTGAGGTGTTTGTATAAAATGGAATTTAAAGTTTACTTATGATTGTATATGAACCACAGAGGATCCCATTTATTAATAAAAAACTTTTTTAATAGTCAAATGTAGAGGGAAAAATTTTTAAAAATTGGGAAACCTAAAAATATATTTACTTGCAATACGTGTGTGTGTGTGTGTGTGTGTGTGTGTGTGTTTCATTTCTACCAACTGACTTCTTTGTTTTAATAATATTGGACAGTTTTCATTTTCACATTAGAGTAATTAGACATGCAAAAGCTCTTAAAGTACCTATACTTGGATTAAATTATACATTTTTTTTTACTAAGAAATGGACAACTGGAGGAAGGATGTTTGTATATACTTTTGTGTTTTATTTATTATTAGGACCACAGTTCATAATTGGCAATGCTTTAGGGTAAAATATTATTGTCTTTTGCAGAGAGTCTTGAAGATGCAAATTGTTTGTTTGGGACTGCTTCTTTTCGGGGTGACCTGGGCAGCACCAGTAAGCGTTAATGAATTCAGTTATATGCATCATATTATCTCTTGCTCTCTTAATTTTTTTAAGCAATGTTTATTTAAATTAGTAACCCTTACTTAGTTCAGTTGCAATAAATTACCAAGCAAAAAGAAAGCATCTAGCACTTAACACAAATGTCTAACACCAAGAAGGACCTCAATAAACATGTGCTGAATTACAAAATCTCAACATGTTGCCTTTTAAGAAATGCCAAAAAGAGTATTTTTGAGAAAATTAATAGCCACAGTGTTCCAAATCAGCTAATTTTAATGAGTAAATGCTCAGGGGCCCAAATTATAACTAAATAACTTCTTAATATTTTACTAAAAACTGAAAGAAAATGGACTTGATTGTTTTAAAGCCGACCAACTAGATTTTGTATAGACATAGTAATGGAAAGAAACCAGACCTTTTCTGTAATTCTTGCAACACCCCAACACTGTGAAATGCTGCTAATGATTTTCACTTCATCAGCAAGGCTAAAGATGGGAGAACAGACCCCTAAGCTTAACATAAATTGAGCTGCAATTTCCTTTTGTGTCTTTTTTTCCCTCTGATTCACCCAGATGGGTACTCAGGATGTGACTAAATTATCTTGTGAAAATGCTGAATGCTAGCAATATTTTCTATAGTGTAGACACAGTGCTAATTAGATAATGTCTGAAAAGCAACCTAGCTTTTCAGAGCAACCATTTCAGTTGGAGAGCATGGAAATAAGTAGTCATTCTGTTGCCGGAAGTACTTAAATATAGGTCTTGAGCAAGTGAGTGACCTCTTAGGTAATCCAGTGATGAGCATGAACCATCTGGTGAGGGCAGCAGAAGTTGAGGAGAGCATGGCCTCTCTTAGCACATATCCTTTCACAGTCCTGCGGTGGACTGCTTAAAATAGACATCTGCCAGCCCCAATCCACACAACTCAGCTCAGTCATCACCACAGAGGCATGTGCTTAGGTATGATGGGGGTTGAGTGGGTCTTGCTGACCCAGCTCAATCCCACCAGCTGAGGCTGAGTCTATTTCGAGCAACACATTCCAAGGAACAGCTGGAGTGGCACTCTCTATCCATTTTCCAGTAACTGCTAGGTCAATATCAATCCAGTTACCACTGGTCAAGAGAGGGAGCCAGCATCTTTCCCAGAGGGAAACACATTGCCTTCTCCATTACAGGGCCATACTCAAGTGTGGGAGAATTGCAAAGTAAATGTAGGGGAAAAGGGACGGATGCATATTTCAGATGAAAGAGGCTCAGCAAGGACAGAGAAAAAATTTGTAATTATGAATGACTAAATGTGATGTTTTCTCCCAGATATATAGATCTCATTTGAGCTATTACCTCAATTATTTAATAAGAGATTATGGCATCAGAAATTAGAATATACTGAGTCACTTACATCTGTTTTTGGATTACAATCCAGATTCAAACTGTAGGGGAAAAAAAGAGTTTTCTTCAACCCTCTTTGGGTCTGTGGCTCAGTTAGCAAATTCAACTGACAAAAACAGATTAACAGGAGAAAAGCACACAAATGTTATTAAATTTCTACATGCACATGGGAGCCTTCACAAGAGAATGAAGACCCAAAGAGGTGACCAAAGCAGGAAGCTTTTATTTAGACAAAGAAACAATTAATTTGTGAAAATTTGATAAGGCAAAAGAGTTTGGGTTAGTAGTCCAATGAGGACTAGGTAGTCCTTATCTTCCTTAACAAGGGAGATTATGTTAGTTTAACAAAATTTGCTGTGGATTCTTCTAGGGCCATCTCTGAACTGATAAGAGTCTATCTCCAACAGTAACAGGAGAACTGGTTTCCTGCCTTAAGGCAGAAAAGGAGAACTTATTTTGCATTTTCTACTTCTTAATTGCCTTCAGTTCAAAATAGGTTGTTTAATGGGGCGCCTGGGTGGCTTAGTCGGTTAAGCGTCCGACTTTCGCTTAGGTCATGATCTCGCGGTTCGTGGGTTCGAGCCCCGCGTCGGGCTCTGTGCTGACTGCCAGCTCAGAGCCTGGAGCCTGTTTCAGTCTGTGACTCCCTCTCTCTCTGACCCTCCCCTGCTCACGCTATCTCTCTCTCTCCTAGAAATAAAAAAAAAAACAAAAAACAAACAAAAAAAACAAAATAGGTTAAGTTTATTTATTTTGAGAGACAGCGAGAGAGCACAGAGGGAGGGGAGAGTAAGAGGGGGACAGGATCCTGCACTATGAGCACAGAGCCCAACATGGGGCTCCAACTCATGAACTGTGAAATCATGACCTGAGCTGAAGTCAAGAGTCAGATGCTTAGCCAACTGAGCCACCCAGGTGCCCCCACTTCAGAATAATTTTTATGTCAAAGAAGCATATTTTGAGATTTTCTTCAAAAACAAAATTTGAAAATGGAAGAAAAAGATGGTTATTGGGCCATGCAATTGAATTAATATTCATCGACATGCAGTTAGACTACAAAGACTTTGTTATAAGTTACTTTGTTGTAAGTTCATGATTTATTATTATGGACTATATTAAAGTATTCTATACTATCAAGTACAGTTTTTAATTCATGCATATGTGTGTTCTATAAGAAGATGCAGAATATCCCAAACTGTTGGGGTTTTTTCTCTTGCTTAATATCTACCTATCTCATTTTTAGGTTTTCTCTTTCCTGTAGCTCCATATTGAAAATTATTTTCACTGTCTTGATATTTTTGAGAAATGGTACAATGATCTAAATTTACATGCACAGGATAATAGAAGAACCAACATAAGAAAAAAATGACAATAATGGATTGAATTATAAAACATGCCTTGCCTTGAAGATACTTAATGTAAAATTCAGAAACATTTCCTCTTATTATTTTTTTACATATAGTAGGCTACTTAAAAATGTATTATTTTAACCCTGGGACTTTGAGACAGAGGATTGGGTTAAAATATCTCCTTCACTTCTATGTCTACCACCAGCCATTTAAGTGTAGGCAACTTTGTTTCTTCTACTGCCTACACAGATATAAATTTTACAGCTTACAAACTGTAAAGTGATTTAGTTGTTATTGACAAACTATTTTTTGTTTCTGGCATGTAATGGAATGCTAGGCAGATCTGCCTTGGAGCCAAGCCAATAGCATACTTTTAGTAAAGTATTGAATTTATTTCTAAGATAATTTTATCAGTCAGGATCCAGTCAGGAAAATAAAACCCATAACAGGATGTTCAATAGAGGGATTTTACTTGGGGGATAATTATAAAGTAATAGGACAAAGAGAAAAAGCAAATCAAGGGTGGTGAGGCAACTCAAGATTGAAGCTACTACCACCCCTTGGGCTGAAGAAACAAGGAGAGGCTGCTCTTCTCTGGGCTCTGAGTAGGGGGAGGGGCCCCAGCAGAAATAAGACCACAGAAGAGGTGGGTCCATCTCAGAGATGCAACCCCAAACAGAGAGAGCCTTGGCCACTCTCTCCTTCTACCCATCAAGCTCAGCCTAGGTCTCCTATCAGCCAAACCCAGAATGAACCCAGATGGCAAAGGAGCTTGGGAAATGTAGTTTGTAGAGGTTATCCCAGAGAGAGCAGAAGTACAATATCTGAAAGGATAATTGCCTATATCTTATTGCAGAAAAATATAGAATGTTAAAGTTTATTGAGGAAGAATACTCTCTAGGTAGTTAAGACCTTTTTATTTCATCTTTTTCTTGAGGGTTTCTCTCTCTTCTATGACTGACACCACCATGATGCCTGCTTCCACTTTAGCACATGCATTTATTATTTTTCTTTATGAGTCTTTCATCTTTTTTTTTTTTTTTTACAAATAGTTTATTGTCAAATTAGTTTCCACATAACACTCAGTGCTCATCCCCACAAGTGTCCTCCTCCATGCCCATCCCCCCCTCCCCCCACATCCATCAGTCCTCAGTTTTTGTCAGCATTCAAGAGTCTCTCATGGTTTGCCTCTCTCCCTTTCCCCCACCATTTCCCCCCTTCTTCTCCCCCTTGTTCTTCCGTCAAGTTCCTCCTAATCCTCCTATACGTGCAAACATATGGTAGCTGTCCTCCTCTGCCTGACTTATTTTGCTCAGCATAACACCCTCAAGGTCCATCCATGTTGCTACACATGGCCAGATTTCATTCTTTCTCATTGCCATGTAGTATTCCATTGTATAGATAAACCACACCTTCTTGATCCATTCGTCAGCTGATGGACATTTAGGCTCTTTCCATAATTTGGCTATTGTTGAGAGTGCTGCTATGAACATTGGGGTATATGTGCCCCTATGCATAAGCACTCCTGTATCCCTTGGGTAAATTCTTAGCAGTGCTATTGCTGGGTCCTAAGGAGTTCTATTGCTAATTTTTTGAGGAACCTCCACACTGTTTTCCAGAGGGGCTGTACCAGTTTACATTCCCACCAACAGTGTAGGAGGGTGCCCGTTTCTCCACATCCTCGCCAGCATCTAGAGTTCTCTGATTTGCTCATTTTAGCCACTCTGACTGGCATGAGGTGGTATCTCAGTGTGGTTTTGATTTGTATTTCCCTGATGAGGAGGGATGCTGAGCATCGTTTCATGTGTCTGTTGGCCATGTGGATGTCCTCTTTGGAGAAGTTAGCACATGCATTTAAACACAAACTAATCCCACCCATTGGTTCCTCTTCCCAAATCTGAGATAGCCTAGGAGTTTCAAAAATAAATAAGAAAATAAAAATACTGGTACTAAAAGAATTAGGTCTGTTCTTCCACAGCAGGCTTGCTCTAAAATTCTCAGGTCCTCTTCTGCATGCTTTCCTGTGACACCTCAATTTCAGCCCCAAATCCTGAATTAAGCTGCCTGGAGCTATTCCTTCCTAGTTTCTGGCCTTTCTCCACCTCAATAGTTCCCTCTCACCCCAGGTACTCTCAAGATCTTTGGACACTTTCATATCAGATAAAGAGAATGTATTTGTCCCAGTATGTAGGCCACTCCATTTTCCTTTCCCTGAAAAAAATCTCTGCTCAGGTGACTGGCAACAACAAAGTCCCATTCCTGGGTGTGATCTTACACTTTACATACAGGGCTATGGTTTTACTCTTGCTGGATCATTAGCAACGTCAGCTCTTTGCTCATATAACAATTACTGAACTCACACAATCAGTGCACACGTAATGATCCACATTATCAGATTCTGATTTTGGTTCACTGATACTAAACAACTCTCTGTGTGCCTATGAAAACTTTTTTCAGTTGATATCAGGGACATCCATGCTTCCACATCTGGAGTGGCACCCCACCCCTAGCTTGGCAATTCTCCTGTGCCTGAATATGGTTCTGTAATGGAGAAGGCCTTGTCTCCCTCTGGAGGAGGAATGCGGGCACCCTCTTCCGTAAGGACTAAGACAAATACGAATGTAATGTATGTGTCTTCTTTGGTTGGAATGATTTTCCACATTGAATAGTAGACCCAGTCAGAGAAAAAGAAATGAGACAATTACTGTGTGCAAAAGTGGATGAAAGAATGAATGTTTGGTGAAGTTTTATTTCTTGTTTCCTTCCAGACATTTCAACCACAGACTGAGAAAACTAAGGAAGACTGTGTGGAAGAACAGAGGGTAAACAGAATTATTCTTCTCAAATAAACCTATTTTAGCTCTGTAAAGAAAAAAGTCATGAGAGGAAATTTTTAACTGTCAAAATATTCTTGTGTACTTAGAATGGAAATGCAAAATTATATAACATAATTTGGCACTTAATTCACACAATGTATGATAGAAGAGAGAAACATTCTGAGTTGGGATTTGTTTCTCTTCACTGTGATTTCCTTCTTCAGAGAGAGAAGTTAATAAGATTCCTGGTGTGTTATCAGCAAACTATTTTCCCCACACGCATACATGAGAATAAAACAACAAATGAGGGAGAAAGCAAAAGGCAGGGAGTTAACAAATCTTATTGGGGAACTCTCTGTTTACATGGAGTTAGTTTTCCATATGCATCCAGAGAGTTAAACAAGTACCCTCAGCTTTTCATGTCACCAAATTGTAGCCTACCATGGTTTCTCGTGGCAGTCTCGGAAAATTCTGTGCTAGGACCTAACAATCTTCTGTTCTTTATCTCAGCTGAAAATTACAAAGGCAAATACTGCAAACATAAGAGAGCCTGAATGTTTGTGCTGTTTTTCCAATTAGACATCAGACATGAATACTGTAAAACCTGCATTTCTCCAAATCCTTACAAGCCCCTCCGACCTGAAAGTATTTCCAAATACTCCATTTCCATTGAAATTTGGTAATAAGATTAATACACCCTGGGAGAGAGAGAGCAGTTGATAGCCATTGTTAACAAGGGAAAACAGATTTACAGGCATGTAAGAAAAGAAAGGGACAAGTTTTATCCTTAGAAGTTGGCTGACACACACTCTCCTGTGGTTATAGGAAGCACTACCATTTGTCAGAGGCAGAATTTGACTTCACCTAAGTTACAGAGTATCTCGTACAATCAAAGAGAGAGCCAGAAAATTTAATATGATATAAACACACCTTAATATAATGTTATGTTTTTGTAGATAACATATAAAGGCCACCATGAGAAACATGGGTATTACATGTTTAAGTATGTTTACACATCATCTGGGAGGAAAAATCAAACTGACATGAAGGTAAGCTGAATCTCTGAGTGAAGATCCTTTTCATGCACCAAACTCTGGACTAGACTAACCCTAGGGGAAAACCATAGGGAAGACAAGTTTACTTTTGATTACTCTGGAATTCTGTCTGTGGCTGGTGCCTTTGTCCTTTTCCCACAGTCTCTGGCCTCTTAAGCATCTCTGCTATAGAACTCTGTGTTCCAGAGTTTTCCTGACACAGATGGCTCACCTCACGTCCTGGCCCAAATCCTGCCCTGCTTTGGGACCTGCCGCTGCAGATGTGGTACTGTGGACCCCCAATGCCTTTGCCTTTTTCTTATTGCTTCTGAGTAACACTTGGTCTTTTATAAGGAAAGTTTCTGAGCATATTCTATCATATGCTCTAATGGTGAGGACTAGATGGATAATAAGAGAAATCATTTTAGCCTAAAGAGTGACCTGCTTTAGTTCCCCTCCAATTCATTCCACTGATGACTCCATCTGGGTCAGGATGCTTGGAAGAGAAAGAATAAGAGCCTTGTCCCTGGAATAGGACAATAATTCTTTTCATTTAGTCCCTTCTTGCAGATTCATTGGCCAAAGAGCTGGAAACAGCTTAAAATACCATCAGCAAAAGGACTGTTTATTTTTTCCAAATCTGGTTTCATTTCCCATGAAAGTATTAGTTTCTCTTCAGAGTGTTATTTCATTCTGCTCATTATTCCTTAGATGGCATCTCTAAGACTAATTGCCTGTTACATTTATTTGTTATCTCGAGTAAATTAAAACTTATTTGCTATAATAAATATATGTTGAACTCTTCCTATTGTGCAAGATACCATGTGAGATAAAACAATGGAGAAAAGTTAACTCTTTCTCCCCAGGAACTTCAAGTTAGAAAAGAAAAAAAAAAAGGCACTTATAAGTCATTGTAACTCAAGACAGAATATGCAAAGTGTTGTGGGAATAGTAACCCAAAACCCTGCTTCTCAGGGCTTGGAGTAGAAAAAAGATTAGTTCCTACTCTGGTGTTTAGGGAAAGCTACGTAATGGACATAATTGAGCAGTGTGTTGGAGGATGAGTAGAATTTAAGCACACAAGAAGGTGATAGAGGCCATTCTCCAAAAAAAGAATACTATGAACCAGGGCATGGAGAGAGAAAAGTAGAGCATAGGAAATCTCCAGCTAACTGATATAAGAACTATCATGCAGTCAGTGATTCAACCAGAAATCTTTTAATATAACAAATGTAAAAATGATTGACCATCACATTCTGCAACTTAATTGCACATTTCACGTTTTCATTTATAAAATAACTCTATTTAGTCTTATTGAAATGCACAGAAATCATTAGTATACATGCTAATGTTTTCAAAGCTCTACAGCACTGAACAGAAAACTTCCCCATGCACAGTAGGGAGAGAAAAAAATTATGGTATTATTATAATCTATTGATTTGCTAATGCGCCTGTTTAACTCAAAAAGCTATATTCACAATGAGCAAATGAGTTTGATTGCAAAGGAAAATATAAATGTCCACGTAAAACTAAGACTCGATGACTTAAAATAAGTCAAATGTTTAAAATACTTTTTATTCGGAAATAACTCACCATAAAGTTTGTTTCTATTGTATTTTTTCCTCATAGAAAAATCGTACCAAATTTCAGAATATTCTTGCCAATAGATCAATGATATCATTGACTCCAATCAATAACTTCAATTTATATATTAAAGATTTACAAGTTATATCTTTTGCATTCTGTATATTAGCCAGTTCCCTAAGAGTAGAAGGCATTTCAAGAAGCTACTTTTATGTTGAGAGTCAGGTAAGAACTGATTCAACGATTTCCCCACTGCTCCCAACAACAAGATACATGTATAAAAGCAAGCAATCCCTTCCAAGTAAAACAGCACTTATTTGCGTACAAAAGAAAGAGATAAAAAGAAAGTCCAAGCAAAATACATTTTGGATAACATAGTATCAAGGATCATAAGCTTATAGAATCCTCCCAGAGGGTAACATTCAGGTGGTACATGAATAGAAGGATCCAGCATTAGTCCATCTCCATCTGCCACTACAACTGTTAAGAGAGATACAGAGACTAGGAAATGGCTGTACATCCAATAATCGAATGACGATTACAATATGTAGGAAAGCAGAAAGCCATTTGATAAAGGGCTATATATGGTTCTGTATGAAATGATAGTTACCATCGTGTATACAGAACTTATTGTAGACATAGGCATTGTTCTAGATACTTTACAATTATTATACTATTTAATAGAACCATTGAATTCCCCCAACAATCCTGATATGTAGGTACAATTTTTCTTATTTTACGGTTAAGAAAGCTGAGCCTCCAAGAGGTTTCTAAGAACCCACAGCTCATCAACAGCAGAGTTGGGCAACGGATTCTACCCGTGCTCTTCCCATAGTGTGCCTACTCTCTGTGAGTGCTTGGCTGAGAGATCAAGAGAAAGACCATTTGGCACCTCTTGCCTCTTGTTTCACTAAATGCGATTCACCATTATCCTGACTTCCCTGAATGTGGGCTTTCCACGTCCTTTATCTTCCCTGTACACTTGCTCAGTGAGGCCAAGCTTCTAGCTGACTACACGTTTTTCCTCCATCTGGGAGCTCTCATGTATTTTCACATACTTAATTAATACATCCAAGAAAATGTCCACCTGCTCACAAGAGCCAACAGACTGAAGGGATGCCCCCCCCCCCTCCAAAAAAAAGGACAAAATTAAACTGCATTAGTAAAAACAGGGCTGCTGCCAGGGCAAGGGAGCTACTAGATGTGTGCTCCGGGCTACTCAGGCTACATCAGAGTCTGAGGCTGTTTGGGACCCCACAGGCTAAAGGACCCACAGTCAGATGACAGGACCGAATATAGTGACCTAATAAGTGACAATTGCCAAGTGTCAACTTGGAGAAGAGAAGGCATTCAGTGAGTTTGGAGGAAATCTTAACTTTTTGAAATATTAGAAAAGTTGCACATGAAAGAGAAAATAACCTTAATAATTGTTGCTTTAGGAAAAAAGAAATACTAGTTACTAGTTTCAAGTTAAAAAAAACTTGAAAAAAATAGAATATAATGAAAATTAGAATATAAATGAAAAGATCTCACATAAAACATAACAAGCAATTAGCCCATAAAGTGTTCAAAGAGGAAACAGCTGACCATAGGTCATGAAGCTGGGAAGGAGGTATGGGTGACCCCCGAGAACTATAATACCTGACTATCTCCAACTGAATATTGCTTTTTCAAGTTCAGGTTCTACATCCTCACGACATCAATGGGTCCAATAGTAAAGCCATTATCTTTTTCTCTTGCCTTCATTTTTGCAGATCAATATTCCCACCCATTTTAGTTATTCACCTTTCTTCTATTTGGGGACCAATAGAAGGTTTTTTTCTTTGTAATGTTTTCCTCTGGCATGACCCTAATCCAAGCGATTACCTCTCAGGCTTCGACACTGCAGCATCCTAACTGTTCTTTCTTACTGCTCTTCCTCCTAAACCACTGATTTTTGTTCTATTAGTCCCTTGTTCATAAATCTTCACTAGCTCTTCGTCCTCTGCAAAATAAATCCAAATTCTTTGCCCTACAGCCTCAGGCTCTACGGATATCCAGCACTTTGTATGTCTGTGAGAGCCCCAATTGGAGGGCCTGTACCCTACTTTTCCACCCCCACCTGCTATGCCCCTGCAGGACTATTGTCTCTGCCATTCCTAAGTCATCAGGTATTGCTTAGAACATGTAGCACTCAGCCCAATTTCTTACATGTTCCAGTCCTTCAATAAATTCCACTTACTTTTCATTTTGTATTACTTACCAATTCAAAGCTCTCTGTCATAGTGTTGCCAATTTTATCTCACCCTACAATTTTGCTGTGGAGAGAAAGAATGTTATTTGTTTCATCTACCATTGCTCTGTTGCTCAAGAGCTCCTAACATTAGATTAATGGGAGGTGGGGAGGGAGCATGAAGAAATTAATTTCAATTCAACCTGCTTCAACTTAAGGTTATCAGATCACTGTAATAGTTCTTTAAGTAAGTCTGTTAGTCTCTTTTGGATAAAAACATTCAGATCCTCATTCTCCCTCCTTCTCTCTCTAAGATGGCATACAGGCATATGAGGCGGTAGGATATGGCTCATAGCCACTACATACCATATACCATATGTACAAACATGGGTAACACCATAGTGGAGAAGAAGGAGTGGTAAATAAATACTAAATTTAAGAACCATTGATCTAGATTATCAAATTTGGCTTATTACATAACAAGCAGGGAAGAAAAGAAAATGAATATTTTTTTTCTACAATGGCTGGGTTTGCAACACTGAAAATTCTTTGTTTGAATGTCAGAAACGTAGTATCACCTACATTCACCTATTTGCCTTTTTTCTGAAAACAAGAAAAAAAAAGAAATGAAAAGAAAAAGAAGTCTTCCTCTAGGCAGATGAATATCTCTGAAGAGCAGGGCAAGAGCAGAGAGAGAGAATAATTATTTTTAAAAATATGAACTACATTTCATTTGCAATGGCTTATTAGTAACAAGACGATGACTTTTTTCTGCTAAAAACATTGCTATTACCAATTTACATCTGAACATCTTACTGCTTGGTACCGTCATCACAAAAATTTTAACAGTGAACTTTCCACTTTTATTCTAAATATTTGTCTTTGCCTCAACAACAGTGTTGTCATTGAAATTTTAACCTTGGTTTCAATTTCTTTTATTTTATCAATTATATCTCTATGTTTGAGGAGGATCACTCTTGAAGCATATGCTTCTTAAATTCAGGTCCTCCTTCAAAATCAGGACCTAATCTACATTTCCAAATTTATTTCTTATTTGTTTCTTTAGAATTTCTGTGTTCAAACCACACAGTTTTATTCATATTATCTTTCAGATGTTTCCTGTTTCCAAACATTTGAATATGCCGCTTATTCTAAAAACATTCTCCCTGCTTTCCTACCATATATCTGGGTCCTACCCATCCTTCAAGCCTTGTTCATTCTTTGTCCATGAAACTTGCTGTAGCCATTCCAGAATTATCTCTACCAACAAACATCTATTGAGTTAATAGTCTTTCAGTTAAGAATATGGTGGGTAATTCTTTTTAAATTGCCTAGGAATTATTAAATTTTTAAAATTTAGCATGAAATAATACTTATAATGTTGAAAATTATAATGTTTCAACTTATAATTTTGAAAATTATACTTCAGCAGGAAGAAAAAAACAAAGACAGTATTGGTCTTCACAATTCTGGTAAGAGAAGAAATCAAGAACCAACACCTAAAGAAAACATTGTCCAGGAAAGACAGAAAAACTTGTCCACTGTTGGAGCCAATGAAACTAATCAGAGTAGCGAAACTCAAACTTCTTTTGAAAACAGACAGACAACAAATGAAGACGATATTATTAATAACAAAGAAAATTCCCATAGTAACCAAAAGTTGTCCATTTATCCTGAGTCCACTGGGAATAATGGTGTTGAGGTTGGAGACAATGTTATCAGCAAATTACGTGACCAAGAAGAATATGGTACAGCTCTTACCAGAAATAATATGCAACATATAATGGAGCCAGGGACTGTGACTAAACTCTTGGCAGAAGAAAACAAAGCAAAAAAACCCAAGAATGTTCTAAGCAAAATCCCAGCAAGTGTGAACTATGTTAAAGCCCCCTCAAAAGATAGGAAGAATTATCAAAGAGATCCCCAAGCTCAGAACATTCCAGTTAAAAGCCAAAGCACACGCCTTACTCAATATGACACTGACTATCCAAAACAGCTTCCAAAGCTCAAAAAAATCCCCAGTGATTTTGAAGGCAGTGGTTACCCAGATCTTCAAGAGAGGGGGGACAATGATATCTTTCCTTTCAGTGGAGATGGCCAACCTTTTAAGGACACTTCTGGTAAGGGAGAACCTATTGGTCCCGACCTGAAAGGTACAGATATTCAAACTGAGTTGTCCGGCCCGAGTGAAGCTGATGCAAGAGGACAAGGTTATAATGAGATCCCAGAAAAAGAAGAAAATGGCAGACATGCCGTTGGAACCAGGGATGAAACAAGAAAAGAGGCAAACACTGCTGATGTAAGCCTAGTAGGGGAGGGCAGCAATGACATCATAGGTAGCACCAACTTTAAGGAACTCCCTGGAAAAGAAGGAAACAGAGTAGATACCAGCAGCCAGAATGCTCACCAAGGGAAAGTAGAGTTTCATTACCCTCATCCACCCACAAAAGAGAAAAAAAAAGAAGGCAGTAGTGATATAGCCAAAAGTACTAATTATAATGAAATTCCAAAAAATGGCAAAGGCAGTAGTAGAAAAGGCACAGAGCAATCTAATAGGAATCAAGCAATCTCAAATGACAAACAAAGAATTCCTGGTAAGGGCAAAAGTCAGGGCTGGCTCGTTCCTTCTCAAGATCTAGATAATGACATTAAAAATGAAATAGGTTCCCATAAGGGCCTCAATAATGAGGGGACTATAATAACACAGAGGAGAAAAAATCATTATGTTCCCCACAGACAAAATTCTTCACGGAATAAGGATGTGCTGCGAAGGAATGGCTCCTGGGGTTATAGAAAACCCCATTCCGGTAGAAGGTTTAGCCCCCCTAGAAAGCATGACAGTAGTGACTCATCTGACAGTGGCAGTTCCAGTGAGAGTGATGGTGACTAGCCCACTAGAAGTTTCCAGTAGGATAAAGGTTCGAATCCCTAGTCATCTGATGTGACAAAAAAGCGGAGCTACCTGAGAGCAGACCACATGGGGAAGGGCAGAGTGGAGAATTGAGTAAGCCAAGAAACCTGGACTCCTCACGAGATTTATTGTTATCTGAATGCTCACAGTAAGAAATTCAAAGTTATGACACTTTTTTTAAAGAAGAAAAATTAATTAAGGACTTGTGGAATAGGTGTCATTTAAATATATTAAAAAATAGTTTGTGAATGTCACAAAAGCCTTCCTTTGTTGTTTGCTCTACAGATATGAAAATCAACACTATCTGTCTATGATAATCTGTAATTAAATAATCTATAAGAAGGTCTGTTGTCTGTCGTGCTTCATTTCAGAGGCAACATGATTAGTTCTGTTTCTGGCCGAGGCAGCGTTATGAAGCTAATCCCTTGAATAAAGCTTAACTACTTCCCCAAATCCCGCAGTGCTTATGCTAGCATTTCCTTCTTCCTCTGACTCCCCCTCCCCTGCCCTAGCAAAGTAACCTGCTTCACATCTTTCTACACTCCCTTCCTCTCTTGCACATTTATAACTTCTTACAAGGCAAATTTTAGCTACTGAAACAAATTTCCATATTACCACTTTTATTAGTATCTACCTCCTTCCAGACAAAGAAGGGGATGGGGTGCAGAGAAGAACAGAGGGTATCTGAGAATGAGAGGACAAATGTAAAGCCAAGACAAAAACTTACTTTGTCAGATATTATTCATTGGCTGATCCCAAATCACTTCCAGCCTATTTTTTCTCCTCAGTCTTTCATATATATGCTTTCCCAGCTAATGGCCTTATGACATCATTCTGGAAATTAGACCCAAGCCACCTGGTAAGGGAAGAGTATGGAATTCTGGAAGGGTTTTGCTCTTCCCAATAAGAAAAGCTTATACAGCTAGTACCATGCTTCCTCCTTTCTTACTCTAATTTTCTTTGCTTGACATTAACATGATGTTTGGGGGTGCAGAGGCCATTTTGTAACCATGAAAAAAAAGCATGAGATAACAGAAAATATACATATTGGTCTATGTTTCTAGTTCCTGGCAAAGAATTCCTAAAACCCTTGAAATTTCCTAAGAGCACTAGGAACATGTTTTGTTCTAATATTTTGTCTTTGACCCTGGTTCCTAACACAGTTCCTAAATTCCTTGCAATTTCCTCAGTCTTTTGTTTTAATGAGGTGACTCTTGGTCGGCTCCTGGATGGAGGTTGGTCACCAGAAAGACTAGATTAAAAGCTTGAAGTTTCACTCCTACATCCCTCCCCTCTAGTCATTCTCCAGAGAAGGGAGAGGAGCTGGAAACGGAGTTAATAGTTAATTATTCATATATGATGAAGCCTCTATAAACACCTCATAAGTATGGTGTTCAGAGAGCTCTCAGGTTGACGAACATGTGGAGGTGACAGGAGAGATAGCCTACCTGGAGAGGGCATGGAAGCTCTGTACCCGTCCCCACAAACCTCCCCACATTTCCTCTATCTGGATGTTCGTCTATGTCCTTAATCATGTTCTTTTATAATAACTGGTCAACAGTAAGTAAACTGCTTTCTTGAATGCTGTGAGCTGCTCTAGAAAATTAACCAAATCCATGGAGGGTTTCGTAGGAAAAACTCTGATTTATAGTCAATAGGTGAGAAGCATAGGTAACAATATGAACTTGCGATTGGTATCTGAACTGGGGAGGGGGAGAGTGTTAAGGAACTGAGGCCTTAACCTGTAGGATCTGATAGTATCTCTGGGTAGATAGTGTCAGAATTGAGATGAATTGTAGGACACATAGCTGGTGTCACAGAAGTGCTTATTGTGGGGAAAACCCCACATATTTCATGTGAGAAGAATTGAGTGTGATAGAAGCATGACAGTAAAACAGACACACAGGAGAACTGTAGGTTTTCTAACACAAAATAATCACAGAGATACCACTATACCAGCTCCATCAGCTCCTACCTCCAGAGTGCTTGTTCTGTGAATAAAACAATTCTCTATTTGTTAAGCAACTCTTATTCCTCCTCTTCTTCTCCTTCTCCTCCTTCTTCTTTGGTTATTGATAGTGGAATTGAATTCTGTGGGGAAATAGGTTCTCCTTATATAAATGGGTTAGAAAAAAGCTTATGATGGAAAGCCATCACCACGGGGCAAAAGTGCCCGAGGTTGGCTAGCGGGGTATTGTAATGAGACCACGAGTAACTTGTTATATCACCTGTAGGAAATTACTTTCCATCTGATGCCAATATACTATTGTACTTTGATCACAAACAACACTTGCCCCCCCACCCCGACCTCTTGCTTCTTACACACACAAGTTAATGATTACCGTCTGTTTTCTCTGCATTCACATATATAAGATCTTGTTTGTTTGTTTTTTTCCATGTTCATCACATGGGAAATATCTTGTGAGCTCAATCAATACGGAGATGAAATCCCTGTTCAGGGCTCTTGTCTCCTCCCAGACATTCCGCAGTTTGTCAGTCCTAGTCTGCTATCTAGTGGAGAAATTGTATGTTTCAATTCTCTGGACAGATTTTGTATTCAGTTTGGCATCTGGTCTCTTGCCAGACAAGAGCGAACTCCAGACTCCTAGTCTACGACAGAATCCCTAACTGATATACCTCTCCATTTGTGGAATTCTTTTAAATGAGAAGGGCCAAGTGAAAAAGAAAGAGGTAGAAGGTAGAAAAAGGTGCCTATTACTTTTCTTGTCTCTTTAAGATGTAAATTCCCCAACAGCAGAAGCCATGACTACATTCTGTAGAGCACCTGGATTATTGAGTTGAATAATCCATATAACACAAATGCAAAACATCAATGTCAATACATCATTATGGTGCCTTTGAAAAATCTAAACTGCATATCGGGTTGATAGAAGGTACTTTTTTTACTAAATAAAAGCTGCAATATAAGCTTCAGAATAAATCAAATTCTCTACATACACACAAATAATAATAATGTGTGCCATGCTTTGCTAAATATTTTAATCTGCACAATTATTCTATTATAATGGGTACCATTACTATCCCCATTTATTTATTTATTTTTTACTATCCCCATTTTACAGGTGAGGAAACTGTGGCATAGAACTGTCAGTAAGTGTTCCAACTAGTAAATTAGGATTTGTATACTGGCAACCAGGCTTCAGACTATTTATTCTTAAATATTCGCTGTATTGTCATATATCACAACAATAGATATATATATGACTGTATGCACATATAGACACAAATGGAGAGAGTGTGTGTATATTTTCATGCACATACAAATATGTGTACATGTGTGCATATATACACTCACATATGTATATATATATATATTTATCTAGATTTATCTATACATATACATATGCACACACACATACATACATATAGTGAGAGAGAACCTGAAAGTAAGTAATACCTGAAAACAAGGATTATATTTTTTCTGTCATTTATTCTCCATCAGAATTCTAGGTATAATATAAATCAATATCAATGTAAAGAGTTAACATATCATCTAATAAATTACTCACCATAGAATTCCGGAATAAACTATTTCTAGTACTCTGCTTTTTTTTAAGATAAAAGACAATTTTGGTGTGCACACATACACAAACTGGAAGCAATTAATGAATGAAGAAAACCATATCAGAATTTAAATTTCAGATAAATAAATTGAAATCAACTTTTTAATTCTGTTCCAGATTATATCAGCCTTTTACATGCAAATTGCCTGCTCATGTAACAAACACTTGGCGTTGTAAAAAAAAATTGAACTGATAGAGAAAATGAAGGTTTTCTTTGGGTTAGTAGAGGTGGGAACTTCCAAATTTCATCAGTCCTTGTCTGCTCTCTAGTGGAAAAATTGTTATGTTTCAATTCTCTGGACACCAAGCTTGAGTTTACATGCATATTCATTTAAAAGACTGACAATGTTCCGATTTTCTTCAGCCATTTAAGGGAAACTCAAAATGTTTCAACATCCTTGATGCATTGCTATGGGATCCTGACATACAGGGCTAAATCTAAAACTAAAGGACCAGAGATCCAGGACCACAGCCTGCAGTCAGACCGTGCGTCTGCGCTGTATCCAAATGCAGGTTTCGGCCATCAAGCTGCACTGCTTCCCTCCCATCCCCCCCCCCCCCCCCCCCCCCCCGTTTTTTTGAACAAACCTAGATTTCCAAAATAGGGCAGAAAATTTCAGCCTCACAAAGCTGCCTTTTATGCAGTGATTCATTCAAATGGGCATATTCTGCCACCTTGTGCCCAGAAAGAAAACACCACTCCAGGCTCTGGCATTTATTTCAACCCTGGCTCCTCTCTACAACTTAACACTCCTAGATCTCTCTGCTCATCAATATCTACCTGGATTTCACAGCCAGAGTTAATCTGTTCTTGGCAATCTATCTAGTCAGGAAAATATGTCTGATTTTGTTTGGCAAAACATTCCACTCCATGATAAAATATTTGCTGAATGACTACACTTCACAAAATTCCATGGGAATCAAAAGGAGAGAAGAGATGCTCCTGGCCCTTATTAAGACTATAATTTAGTCAAGGAGAAAGGCATACAAAAGATACAAGGTGACTGTGTATATTCAATAATAAAAATATAAATAACGAGACTATAGGAGTTCTGAGGAAAGAGATGAACTCTAGCTGAAGGTAGAGCAAAGACAGTAAAATCCATTTTCCATAGCTTTTACACATTCAGAGGGGCTGGCTGCCAATAGTCAGTTCCAACCGGCAAATGAGGGTTTGACAGTCAATGACCTTAAATGTACTACATGTATTTTAGAGCTTAAGAAAGATCACTCCAGCTATAGAATGGGTAAGCTGTGGGGGGTGACATAGGGAGAATTGGAAGGCAGAAGACTAGCAGTAAGAATACCCAAAGGTTAGGGGCACCTGGGTGGCTCAGATGGTTAAGTGCATCTGACTCTTGATTTCAGCCCAGGTCATGATCTCATGGTTCGTGAGTTCAAGCTCTGTGTCAAGCTATACACTGACAAGTGTGGAGCCTGCTTGGGTTTCTCTGCCTCCCTCTCTCTCCGCCCCTCCCCTGCTTACTCTCTCTCTCTCTCTCTCTCTCTCTCAAAAGTAAATAAATATTTTTTTTAAAAATTTTAAAGAATACTCAAGGGTTATTGCTATAATCCAGAAGAAACGTAACTTTGTCTCCACACTCAGTCTTTAGTACCTGCTTTGAAC